GTGGGTATTTCTGCTCTTACAGTTGAATACCTGAGTTTTGCAGTGAGTTGATGTCTGATAAACTGAGATATGTCTGATCTTGGAGTAGAATGAAAATGGGGTTGGGGTGGGGGTCACTCTTGCCCTTCTTGGAAAATCAGATGGTGAGAGAGAAGCAGTCTTATTTCCTGTGCATCTTTTTGCCGGGAACCAAGGGACTCAGGACTCAAGGTCTAGTTCCACTTTAGACAGACCCCACTGTGAAGAGTCTTGACTAATCAAGTTGTTTGTTTGCTTGTTTGTGTTTGAAGGAGAACACTAAAGTTCAAGAAGGCAAATTTACCACCTCAGGCACTCAGCCAGAGCTAGGTCTGCCTGACTTCAGGACCGTCTTTTTTTTCTCTTTTCTAGGCCCCTGTCTTCTCATTAGTAGAATGAGATTCTTCAAGATCAAAGATTTTCAAACATTTCATTTCAAAGTAGGCAAATCCCTTTTACGGCTGAACTCTTACTTGTCCAACCTATAAAAAAAAGATAAAAGAGAAACTGCTTGGCGTGAGGAGGGTCATGAGGCCTGCAGCCCTCTGCCCGAGCCCCATGGCCCACAGGCACCTCACTGCAATCATGAGCTTGCAGGGAAGCTTTGAGGAAAAGAACCAGCCTAGATTATCCTGGGGCCTTTGGCAAAATCTCTGAGACCGAAAGGGGACTCTCTGATCTTTGAAACAGTGTTAAAATGTTTCACAGAAGACAGCAAAACAGAACCCAAACCAAAAGCTTTCCAGCGGTGCAAAAGGATAAGGACCGCAAAGGCCCCTCCCTCCCATCTCTGACTTGCCATCCTTCCCTGAGCAGCTGCTGCTTCCAGGACTTCGTGTCTCTGCTAGAGATGGTCTGGACATCTCCCAGAAAATATGCCCAGATATTGTCCCCTCTCTTCTTAACACACACACACACACACACACACACACACACACACAGTAGCATCTATAATGCCTATTTTGCATCTTGTTTTTCTCCGTTAGTGTTGCATTGTGGTGGTTTTCCCAAATCAGTACTCAGAGATCTGATTCATGTTGTGCAGTGGCTGCATGATAATGGGATACTCTCTACTATTTAATTTATTTGGTTAACAAGGCCCCTATTCTTGGATAATCAGGTTGCTTCCAGTCTTGCTATGTCAGAGAACCCTGCAATGAAGGTCCTTCGGTCCTTATATATGCATCTGGGTGCACACGTGTTATTTTAGATGCTCGGGTTGTTCCTTTCCCTTTATCCCTCCCTCTCTTCCACCTTCCTTTCCTCCCTTCCTCCCTCTTGCTTTTGCCTTTTTTCTTTCTTTTTTGCTTGTGAGCATTTTCAAATTTTTATTCCATGAACATGTCCCATTTGTGTAATAATTAAAAGGATATGTTTACAGGCCCAGGCCTCAAACCTCAGCCAAGTTAGATAAATAGCCCCAACATAAGCACAATTCCGAAAGAAAAAATACCGGCTTTTGTTGCTGAGGCCTATTTGGCTGGGAGGTTGCGTTTCTGGAGAGTTGTGTGCCAAGGCCCAGCCATGCCTGAGATAACTTCTGAAATATAGGGTCTGGGTCTAGTTTGGGCTGTGCCATTAACTGGCCAGGTGACTCCAGGTAGACCACTAAGCCTGGCATTTACTACGTGTGGGCTCTGAGCCTAATGTGATACAGCATCTGGGGAGATGGGTATATTATCCCCACTCCTTGGATGAAGAAAAAGGGCTCAGGGACATGAAGTACTTTCCAGCCTCCTCTAGGTCTACTGAGGAAACACCATCCATCAGCCTGGGAGCCCTGATTTCCCTACCCACCCCCACCCTACCCCCACTCTGCAAAGATCAGCTCAACCTCAAGGACAGTTGGCTCTACCCTTAGAATAGAGCCCTCTCCCTCACAAAATCCTCAGCATGGCCTTTGAGGACCCCATGATCTGCCCCCAACCACCCCACTCATTCCCAACCACAGGGCCTTTGCACTTGCTGTGTGCTTCTACCTGGATTCTTTTTCTTCCCAGCAGGTCCAGGACAAGGCTGAGGGAAGTGAGAGGCCTGGGTGAAAAAATTCAAGAGATGCTTCCTCTCAAGTGCCAGCGTACCCCTGAATGAGCCTGGGTTGCTACCTTGCCCCACCTCATCTGGCACTGCTTCCCAGACTGGTTCTTCTCATCACCCGGGTCTCGGCTTAAGTGACCCCCTCCACAGAGACACCTGCCTGACTGTCCTAGTGAATGGTGTCCCTGTCACTGTCTAGCCTACCACACTGTTTTGTTTTCTTCATAGCTCTTATTACAAAACTATTTGTTTATTGCCCATCTCTGCCCACTAGGTTATAAGCTCTATAAAGGCAGGAACTGTATGCCTCATCCTCAGACATTTTCCCAGTGCCCAGCACAGTGCCAGGGTCAAGAGACCCTCAAAAAATATCTGTAGGGTGAATGAATGAATGAGCTGGTCAGTGGCAGAGCCAGGGTTCGAGCCCAGGTTGACTTGACTGCAAACTCAGCCTTCCCATCCATGACTTAGAGAAACGGGGGGCTTAGGTCCAATCAGCCAGGGGACCCTTGACTGTGGCTTGTGTCACAGCCTGTCCTGTGTGTCCCCAGGACAGGCTGCCTGAGGAAACTTCTAGGCGGGGAGGAGCTTGGCCACAGTCAGGGGACCGCTCTCACCCTCAGGCCTTTGTGGGGCCAGCTGTGCCCCCGCCCCCGTTCTAGTTTTTATTTTTAGCGGCAACTTTTTGGGCACAGCAAACACTCCTTAGGAAAAGTCCAACAAGAGGATGAGGGAGGCAGTTTTGAAATCCGGTGGGAAAGTAGGTCAGGCCGGGTTGCTGGCTGGGGTCCAGACGATAAGGCCTCCATGGAAGTTTAATAATGTGAGCGGCCGTATCCATGACATAATTCATAACTGAGAGGAAATAGCAATTAAGGGACAATTGTGCAACGCAGGACAAGCCTCCTTCACAGCTCATAAAAGCAGGAGGAGGAAGAGGAGACGCTGTCATTCTGGGGCCACTGGGGGCTGGGCTGGCGGCCCAAGGGAACTGGGGGCTGTTTCTACACGGGGTGGGGGCTGCACCCATCTTTCCTCTCCCACTCAGTGCTCAGGGAACCCTGAGGACATGTAAGACAGAAACTCCCTTCAGCAAGCACCTACTATGTGCATGGTGGGCTCAGGGCTGGGGTGAGAGCCATCAAGCCAGAACTATGCTGGGGTTGGGAGATCTGGACGCAGCTGCACTATTTTTGATGCTGCCTTGTCAAACTGGAAAATCGCTTTGATTATTGAGTGAACTGTACAGCAGACACCCCAGTCCTTATTCCATCTCCTCCTTCCCCCACTCCACCTACTATGGATTTTCAGTTTCTCCTTTATTCATTCTCTATTGTTTCATCTATCCACAAGCACTTTTTGCTTTTATAATCAATTGAGAAAACACACATACACACACAACCATTAAATCTGCATCGGCACCTCTTTTCTCTCCCTTGAAAAAGCCTGACGTGAGCTCACCCCAGGGCCTTTGCACTTTGCCCTCTGCCTGGAATACTCTCCCCCTAGATAGCCACATGGCTCACCCCTCACGTCCTTCAAGTCTGCACTTAAAGTGTGTCCCCTTTCCATTGAAGTCTTGGCTGACCAACCTTTCTAAAACAGCAAACCCATCTGTGTTCTCAATCCACCTCTCCTGCTTTATTTTTATCTACAGCACTTACCACCAATTAACCCTCTCCATCTGCTCTTCATTTGTTTTATTGTCTGGTCCCACCAGTATGTTGGTGCCATCAGCAAAGGAATTTTTGTCCGTCTTGTTCCTGGCAACATCCCCAGTGCCAGAAAGTGTACCTGAAACACTGTAAGTGCTCAGGAAATACTGGTGAATGGATGAATGAATGAATGTTTGCTGCTATTATTGACCAAAGAAAGGTTGGTTTGGGCTGCCTCAGATTGCCTCCGGCTCAAGACCGTCTTGGCTGCAGCTGGTGGGATCAGAAGTTGGGATAACAAGGGTGGGTTTGGCTGGTCAGGCGTTCACAGCTGACACTTGTTCTGATTGTTTAATGCTCAGTTTCACGATCACACCCCCTGCCTCCTCCCTGGGAGCTCCTTGGCCACTTTAGTTAAGATTCTAAATGCATTTACCCACTGACCCCACCCATCCAGGAATAGTCTCAGGGAGCAATGCTGTAGATGCAAATAGGGTTCCTTGCAACATTTTTCGCAATAATGTGCACACACAATACACTCACAAAATCAGGAGTACACACACACACAGACACATGCTGGTCTTGAGATCCAGACCCAGGGACATCCACTCACACACTTACACAACTAAACATACACATTCGCCATTCACACATCCAGACACACATTCACCTGCTCAAACATGTTTGGACACTTAGCAAGAGACAGAGCTCCAACCCAGGTATGCAAACACACACAGCACACAGATACCTACTCATTCATCTCACACACACTCCATCGCACACATGTGCACACACATACTCACTCTCACACATCTTCTTAAAGCCATGCATTCACACACTCACACATTCTTAGACATATGGTGACACCCATGTGCACACGGCGTTGACCCCCACGGTCGCCTCTGCCCATGCCTCCTAGGACATACACACCACCTGCCCTTCTTGCATGCTGAGGCCCCAGGGAACCGGTCTTTGGCTGTGTTTGGATGGGTGGGGACAGACCGCAGGCCCTGACCCCCTCCACTCTGGATCTCTCACTCTGACCCTGGGCAGACACGAAGCCACCCAGCGTGGCCAAACCGGGTCCAGGCCAGCTCTGCAAGCAGCGGTGTGTGATGCCTACATCAGCCGTGACTGTGCCGCCTCGGGGCACGACTGTCTGGCTCATCTGTGCCCGGAGCACCGCCCACTTCCTCCCCATCAGAGGGCGGTCGGCCCTGCTGACATCAGGCAGTTTCTGGGCATGCCTGGCACTTGGAACAGAGGAAGGAAGTGATCTTTCTCAGCCACCGGGCCGGCACAGGGAGCCCAGGACATGCCCGGCGGCTCCGGAACCCAGGTCCACTGTGGCTGGGCCGCCTGCCCCTCCCCTGCATGGCCCAGGCTGGGGCCACAGGTCAGAGGACTAGGCTGTCCGAAGCCCCTGAAGTCGGGAGCGCCTCCCCTCCACCCCTGAGAGTGAGAGCGGGCACTGCTGGGTGCCAGGCACGGGTCTCCCTTGCCATGGCTTATCTTGTTAAATCCTCCAAACAGCCCTAATGGTGGGCACAGTCGAGGCACGGAGAGGTTAGGGGACTGCGCCGAGAACTAGGATTTGACCCCCAGGGGTCTGGCTCCAGACCCCTACTCTCAATCACCCCCACCCTCTCCCAGCTTGTTTGTGTTGTTTTTGTAAGCCTCCAATGTCCTGGCTTCCTCACCTGTCTCCTCTCTGAATCCTGGCAACAATCTTACAAGCAGGGTGGCAGTAGTAACCCCATTTAACAGATGAGAAAACTAAGGTTTAAATGACCTGCCTGGGGCAGACAGCAAGGAGGAAAGAGAGCAGGTTTATACTGGGTCCCAGGGCTCGTTCTATGATGCCAGGTTGTCTCCCTCATGGGCCAGGGGCCTCTGGCAGGACTAGAGGTAGGGAGGGGTGATGTGGGTCTTGCTGGCCACACAACAGCCAGAGAGACAATAATACATTTATGACAACAAACTTTTTTACTTTTTAAAGTAAGTGGGAAGTAACCAACATACAATAAAATACACAGATGTTTATGGGTTCAGTTTGATGACTTCTGACAGATGCGCTTGAGAATCAACCACCTAAAATAAGACCCCAAACATTGCCACCTCCAAGCATCCTCATGCTCCTTTCTGAACAGCCCTCTGCCCCTGTGGCCCCAGGTAACCCCTGACCAGTGCTCCCGGGTTAGCTTTGCTTCGTCTAGTGTTTCAAAATAGGGGGACTCACACAGTATGTGCTCATGTTCTCAACAACTACACAAAAATAGCCCTGGCCTCTTTCCCTCAGCATGGCACCTGCAAAGAGCTATCGTGCTGGTGCAAGTAGCAGTAGTTGGTTCCTTGGCTGAGTGGCATTCTACTGGAAGAATGTTCCGTGACTTGTTTATCCAGCCTGCAGGAAATGGGGTCTGAGTTTCTGCTGTGAATGTCTGTGTACACTGAGCACCTACCTGCTCTGGGCCAGTCGCAGTTACCACCGGGGTCCTCTGCAGCCACTGTGTGTGCTCATCCCCACCCAGCTAGACACCACTGTCCCCACTCTGGGGCAGGAGGAAACGCAAGTTCAGGGCAAGGAACCCAAAGATACACAGCTCACAGAAGGCAGGATAGGAGCACTGAGCAAGGGGCAGATGGAGACCCCAAGGGATGCCAGGCAGACCCTGGCCCTGGGAGAGCATCTTTAGTGGGCATGGAGCTGAACCACCACCTGCACTGCAGTGGCAGCAGCCTACATTTATTGGGTACCTCCTCAGTTCCCGGCCCTGTTCTAAGCACTTTTCATGGATCAACCTATTCAGTCCTCCCAACAGCTGCTATTATCCCGTTTCATAATTAAGGAAACTGAGGCACAAGGAAGATGAGTCATATCTCCAGAGTCACAGAGCTGAACTTGGACCTAGGTGATCTAGGACTTCATGAGTCTCTTAGCTACAAGCCTGCACTTCCTCATTAACCTTCCTTTGATTTAGTTGATGCCCCTAGTCGGCCAGGCTCAGATCCCATCTTGCCCTGGAGGCATTTCCACTCATGGTCATCTCCCTGCCCAGTTGGGAGCTATCCCAGTCTGCTCAGTTCAGGATCCAAGGGCCTGGTGCTGGGAGTGCAAGCAACAGAGTAGAAGGCCAGGAACAGGACTCTAAATTCAACCTTTGAATCCTGGCTGTGGCATATACTGGCTGTGTGACCTTGGGTCAGTCACTTAACCTCTCTGAGCTTCCATTTTGTTACCTGTAAAATTAAAGATGATGACTGTGACAGTGATTCAGTGAGTTGGGTGTGGAATTACCAGGGCTGACATTTACCTGCATTCTGCTCTCTGCCTGGGGCCTTTCAATGCTTAACCCAGCCTCAGCAACTCTGTAGAACAGATGTTGTCTAATCTCCATTTTACCAATGAAGAAATACCATCTTCTCTAAAGTCTCTCAATACTACCTCCATGCTAAAAATCTCCAAACATACTTCTCCTGCCAGGACGTACACCTGAACTCAGGCTTGAACATCCAGCTGTGGCTCAACATGCCTCCACCGACATGCCCACCTCCAGGTAAGGGGCAGAACCTCCCTTCCTCCCCGCACGCCCCGCCCTTCCTGCAGGCTTCACTTTGGAAAATGCCACCGGTCTTTCCAGGGTCTTCATGTCCTCACCGACCCCTCTATTCCTCTGACCTCCACTCCCCATCAGCCTTCAGAAGGCATCTGGTCTGATCACCCCCCAACACCTGCCTCCACGGCCCCACCCTGGTATGAGTCACCAAGCCCTTGCTTGGATTACGGCAGCGTCCTCCACAGTATCACCCCATTCTGCCATTTCTCCCTACCTGAAGGAAGTCAGATCACACCTCTCCTCTGCTCAACAACCTCCCATGGCTCCCATGTTACCCAGAATAAAAGACAAGGTCCTGGCAGTGTCCATAGGTCCTGTGCAGCCAGCCCCTGCTTTGCCTCTCTGACCACTCCCCTACAGCCACACTGACCCACTCCCTGCTCCTGGAACCCACAGGCACACTGCAGCCCTAGGGCCTTTGCACTTGCTGTTCCCTCTTCCTGGGACTCTTCCCAGATATAACCACATGGCTCCTCTCTCACCTTCTTCAGGTCTGTGCTCAGATGTGAATGAATCTACCCTGCCTCTATGAACAAGACCCCCCTCATCGACACTCCTCGCCCCCTTCTCTCCATGGCACCCATCACCAATTGACATGTGGAATTTAACATTTTTAATTGTGTTAATGTTATTATCATTATTGGTTTTGAATGTCTCCACCCACTGTGCCCCACAAGGGCAGGACTGTTTCTGGGGTGTCCACTACAGCATCCTCAGCACCTCTGGGTCTGGTTCAGTGTTTGCTCAGTAAAATGTTTGGCAGAGGCACAAACAGGGATCAGGAAGGGGTTAATTGGCTTCCGGGGCCACCACGTTAGGACATGCTGGAGCCAAGATTTGAACCCAGGGGTCCAAGTCCCATGCTGTGTCCTTAACCTCCCAGGGCTTGTTCCACGTCAACACCCGGAGATGGTGGCTGTCACTGTCACGATTTTTAGGGCAATAAGCTCATCCTTTCCTACCCGCAAGGGAAGACTTTCGGGAGGGGGAAAAATGGAGAGGTCAGGCCACCTGTGGCCTCCAGCCAGTAGGAGGTGACTCACCAGCCCCATGATGACAGGTGACATTCCAACCTCTTCCCTGGGGGACTTTGGCCTGAGATAAAGGGAGCACCCTGCTTCTGGGAAGAAGAGGACAAACAGGTGGGAGAGGTGGCCAGGCCACTGCCTCGGGGGGTGGAGGAGGCTGCATATCTGGGCTGGAGGGCTGCAGGGTCCAGTCACGAAGTGGGGCAGTCCAGGCTGGACTGGCCAGATTGACCCTTGAGCCTTCCTTTTGGGGTCAAAGATGCAGCCTGAGTCCTCTTATCAGGAAAATGGAGCTCTCCCTGTGAAGTCAACACCCCGGCCTCTCCCTCGGGCGGTCCGGGGAAAGCTGCTCAACGCTGCTCCATTTTCCCTTGCCATTTTTGCATGGGTCAGAAGAATCTGAGCCGATCAGCAAATACGTTTTGAAAAAGAACATCAGGGGCAACAGACTCTGGCCAGATGGTCTTTATTTGATTCATATTTTGATTTTTAAAATTCCTAACTATACCAAGTGTCCATCAATAGATGAATGGATAGAAGATATGGTATATATACACAATGGAATATTATCCGGCCATAAAAAAGGAAGAAATCCTGCCATTTGCAGGAAAAGACAAATATGATTTCACTTATATAATTTCACTTATATGTGGAATCTAAAAACGAAATGAACAAAACAGCAATACTCATAGACAATAAGAAGTGACTGGTGGTTACCATGGGGGAGGCTGGGAGGGGGTGAAAAGGCTGAAGGAGATACAGACAAAAAAAATCTCAATCGTAATATGAATTAGTCATGAGGATGAAAGTACAGCATGGAGAATATAGTCAATAGTTCTGCAACAGCTTTCTATGTTGACATTAACTACTAGTTGGGATGAGGATTTAATAACATATATAACTACTGAATCACTACTTTGTATACTAGAAACCAATACAATATTGTTTATCAACTATACTTCAATAAAAAAAAGTTTTTAAAATCCTAACTATACAAATAATACTTGAATACAGTTCTATTGCAAAAGATACAAGCAACACACTCCCTACTGTGACTTTACTGCATCGCTAGGATTGTGTTTGGCTGTGAGTGGTAAGTAACAGACTCCAGCGGCTTGGCTGGCTGGAGGCTCCATTTTTCTAGTATGAAAAGAGGTCCAGAGGTGGAACCATTCAGGCACATCAACACGACCAACTTCCCAGTCTCCCATTTTGGTACATGACTTTCAAACTCATGGCTCAAAAGGGCTGCTTCAGCGTCTGGCATTGTATGTGCATCCCAGGCAAGTGGGCATGGAAAGGGCAAGGTGTGTGCCAACTGAGTTCCCCACTTTGATCAAGGACATGGTGGCTTTCCCCAAGCTCCATGGAATAGATTTCAATTTACATCTATTTGACTAGAATTGGGTCATGTAGCCACCCCACTGTACCCACAAGCGAGGATATGATTATTTCCTTTGGGCTCGTTGACATCCTGTTCAAGGCTGGGGTCCTATTAGTGAGAAGAAGGGGTGATGGACAATAGGCAGGCACAAGGGGGTCTGCCTCGGCTTTGCTTTGTGTCACTTGAAAGGAAACACTGCAAATGTGGTTTTGCACCTTGATTTCTTTTTCCACCCAATAATATTATTTAGAGATTTGCCTTGTCATAATTTTGATATCTGCTGCGTAGTCTTCTATGGGATGGAGGCAACACAGTTAATTTAACCCATGTCCACGGATATTTAGTGACTCCCCGCCCCAAAACATTCACTATTCTTAACAAGGCCTCAGGAATGTCCTCATGCAGCACTTTCACACCCGTGTGCATTTCTACAAAAGGGGAACTTCAGGTAGATGAGTGCATCCTTTAAAATACTGGGAAGTATTCCCACCTCAACACAAGGCTTTGCCAGCTGACATTGTTTCCAACTGCCAACGAGAGGACCTGCTTCCCTCCCACTCATCAGCCAGGATATTGTTGCTTAAATTTTTTTCCCCCATTGTGATGGGGAGAAACTTATTATTTTTGTTGTGATTTGCATTTTCCTGACAAGTAGAGATGAAGCCTTTTATCATTTATGATTTGGCTATTTTCTGATGTGTTAATCTGCCTTTTTAAATTATCTGGCCATCATTTGCCACTGAGTTATTCTTTTCTTTCTGATTGGTATGAGCCCTTTTCTATTCAAGTATAAATCCCTTTTTAAACATAACTTTATTGAGGTATAATTTATGTACAATAAACTGCATCTATTTAAGGCAGGGTTTCTTAATCTGGGTACTACTGACATTTGAGGCTGGGTAATTCTTTTCTTGGGGCCTGTCCTGTGCACCATAGGATGCTTAGCAGCGTCCCCTGCCACTGACAACCACAAATGTCTCAGAACATTGGCAAATGTCTCGTGGGGAGCAAAAATCACCCCTGGTTGAGAACCTCTACTTTAAAGGATGCAGCTCTTAGGCTTTGGTAGATGTGTGCATCCAGGAACCTTCAAGATCTTTGTGTTTAGATTGTAAATATTTTCCCCAGTCTGAGGCTTGGCTTCAGTCTGACGCTTGCCCCTTCCTACTGGAGTGACCTTGGTGGAGTCACTTAATTACTCTGAATCTCAGTTTCCCCAGCTGTAAAATGGGGATAGTAATACCGGTCAGGCTTGTGAGGCTTGAAGGGAATCATGAATGAGGTTCTCCAGCTTGCACTTTGGCCTCTGTCATTCATTCTCATTCTCCATGTGTCAGGCTCACCACCAGTTGCTGCAGATGCAACAGTGACCAGTGTCTATGGTCCCTGTCCTCAGCAAGCTCACAGACTGGCTGGGCTGATGGATAAGTGACCAGATGACACTGCGCTCAATGCTCAGTGTCGGGGAACACCAGAGTCTACCAACCACCATCATCTTTTTCCTCATAATGAAAAAGTTTTGGAGTGTTATTAGGACACATGCTGCCCAGAGAGTGATTATATTTCCCAGCATCCTTTGCAGTTAGGTGTGGTCATATGACTGAGTCTGGTCAGTGGAATATAAGTAGAGGTGATGTGAAACCACTTCTGGGTCATGCCCTCAGAAGGAATGAGACTTTCTCTCTTCCTGCTGACTGAAATGTAAATGTGATGAAAGATTCCAAGCAGCCATTTTGGACTTCACTGGAAGCTGTGGAATGAGGATGGCATGGCAACTAGATAGAAGGAACCAGGATTTCCAGAATGACCTTACAGAAGTAAACTAACTGACCAACCTTGAATCTTCCACGTCAATGCTAGAAATAAAATTCTTTCCCATTGAGCCACTGTGGGTCTCTGTGGTAGCAGCTCAGATCCTAGCATGACTTACACAGAGGAGAAAACACATGTTGGGAAAGCCTCGGCGGTATTTAACCTGGTCTGGTAGAAGTAGGTGTGGAGGGCTTCCCAGAGGAGGCAACTTGTAAATGGAGGCTTGACGATGAGAAGGACATTTTTCTAGACGAAGTTTCCAGGCACATGCATAGCATATGGGCAAATCAAGAGGCAAGAGAACATGGGGCTTTTACGACTCCTAAAGAAGCTGAGGATGGCTGCAGCATGGAAAGCAATAAGAGCAGGAAAAGATGGGCCTGGGTGGGTTGTAGGATGGACCTCCAAGAGCCTGGGAAACCTACTGTTAACTGCTTTGGATTTTGCCCTGAGGATAACGGGGAGCCATGAGAGGCTTGAGGCAGGAGGGTGAAGTGATTAGACTTGCTTCTTAGAATGCTCTCTCTGGCTACAGGGTGGGGAATGGATTTTTTCATTTCTTTGAAAAAAGTTGAGGCTCTGCTATGTGCCAGGCACTGAGGATTATCAGTGAGCAAAACATACGTGGTTTCTACCCGCACGGAGTTTGCAGCCTGGTGGGGTGAGACATGACTCACATACTCACACAAATAAATATGAAGTGTGATAAGGGAAGGTGGGGGAGGTGTGCAAGGCCGTGAGAGGATATAAAGGGGGGGGTCGACTTGGGGGAGTCAGAGGACCTTCCCTGGGAAGGTGATGGGCGACAGCAGTGGGCAGAGTTCCAGGCTGAGGGAAGAACGCACGTGCAGGGAGCAGACAGCAGCAGGGAAAGCTAGGAGGGTCAGGCCGAAGACGATGGCAGAGATGGAGAAACACGGCAGACCTAATGAGGGACAGCAGGGAATCTCAAGGGCCAGCCAGCTTCTGGCTTGAGCAAGGCGAGCAACAACAGAGGAGGCCGAGGACAGGGAGGTGTTTGAAGACCAGACCCTGAGTTCAAATGTGGCACTTTGGATTTGAGGTTCCTATGAGCCATCCAAGTGGAGATTGTGAGCGGGCGGCTGGTTATAGGAGTCTGGCAGGCAGAGGAATTCTCTGGCTAATTGCAGTTATCCTCCCAAGAATGGCCTCTCTGGCCAGAGCTCACCAAATGCTGGCCTTAGGAGCACCTGATGTATGCTAGGAACTATGCTTATGGTTGCCCCCTCATGTCTTGCTTGCTAGAAGGGTCCAGTTTTCTTGAATGTGCATCTACTCAGGTACTCGGGGACAGTGGCCATTCCCCTTCCCAGCCTCAGAATGAGTTATTATGGGTCTAAGCCAATTGTGATCATTCTCACTTCCCTCATCAGTGATTGGTTTGGAATTAGGCATGTGATGCATTTTTGGCCAATAGGAGGTCTGCAGGGGGAGCCTCTGGGAACCGTTTTCTCCCTTATAAAAGGAGACATTTTCTTTACTTGATCTTTCCATGTCTGTGTGTGATGCCTGGAGTGGCAGCAGCCACCCTGAAACCATAAAGAGAGGCATCTGTAAATTGCTGAGAATGGCAGAGCAGGAAAATGGAAAGAATGTTAATTTTTGTTTATATATTAATGCCTTGGAATTAAAGAACCTTATTAGATGAAACTACGATACTCCTTTCCCTTTTTTTTTCTTCTTTTTCTTTTTACTTGTCTGAAAGTGATGGAATAGCTGAATTAGCCACGCTGCTAATTTACCTCCAAAGGTTTGTTCAGCTCATCAGAAATATCTTCTCTCCTGACATAAAGAAAAAAGACCATAAAGGTGTGCACTCTCTCCCTCTTTGCTGCCATTATCAAGTGCTCTATGCCTTGTGGGCTGATCACATTCTGAATAAGAAAGTGCTTCATATGCATTATCTCATTTAATATCTGAGATTGATATTATAAGAGCCATTTCCAAATCAAGAAACAAAGGCTCAGGGGGAGGTAAGTGACTTCCCCAAGGTCACAAAGATAGTTACAGAGCTGGGATTTCAGTCAAGGCTGGTCTGATTTGAGAGCATAACTGGGCTTAAGCCATGGTCTCGTTTTAAAAGTCTTTTCCTTAACATGATTTTAGTAGGAAACCATAGCCCTGCTCTTAATTTTCCCTGGAAATCTGCTATTATGGTTGGTGGGAAATTTAGAGTGGGCTGCGTTTCTTCGTACACAGTTAATGGCTTTGATTATATGTTTCTGGCTTCTTCATTCTGAGAAAGGCTGCCATTGGTTGTACAATATAATCAAATCTTTCTTATGTAAACAGCCGTCTGGCACAGAGTCAGCAGCAGTTCCTTCAGTGGGAAGGTGAAAATGAAACTGTGTTCCCAGCTCCGGAAAGCAATCTGCTATTCAGCAGGAAAAGATCAAGGGTTAATGACACAGAGTTGGGCAAAGGCTGCCGCTGTGGCTCTGAGCATTATCAGGAGGCGGGAACAAAGAATCGTTGTTAAATGGGTTTGTTACAAAAGTTATTTCCTAATGTAATTCATGAAAAGCTTGCCAGAGCATTAGGCACATCCTTCGAAAGCACAAGGGAACTAGAAAGAAAGAAAAGAAAAGAAAAGAAGGAAGGAGGAGGGAGAAAGAGAGAAAGAAAAAGAGGCTTCTTCTAAAGTTAATTATGGAACTCGTAGAAAGGGTTAATATCCTTAATATACAAAGAGTTCTTGAAAAACAATAGGAAAAGGTAAACCCCTTATTATAAAATAGATTTTTCACAAATGAAGAAATATATAAAAAAATAGATGAAGACAAGATTCACTCTGCCACATGTAATCAAGGATATACAAATAAAAACTACAATGATATGTCCTTTTCCACATTAGACTGGCCTAGAATGGCAATACACACCATGATGTTCAATTGGCAGAAATTTTAAAGCAACACAGAAATTTAATTTTGGGGCATTTATCCTGAGAATGTAATAGGCCAAACACTCTCTAGAGACAAGAGTGTTCATTGCAGCATTGTTTATAAAAGTGAAAATTGGGGGAAAAAAATCCTGAAATGCCAAACTACAGAGGATTCATTAAATAAACAATTATAAACCTAAAGAAATACTGTATTATAAATTGAGTTGTATTAAATATTAAAAAGTGTATTAAATAGTATTAAAATACTAGTTAAAAATGGTATGATCTAATTTGTATTAGTTGTGTGTGTACATACACATATATTAAAAAGAGTTTCCTAAAGGGTGTTTACTGAAATGTCAGCAGTGTTTATTTCTGGGTGGTAGAATTTTCAGTAATTTTTGCTTTCCTTTAAGTCAAGAGTTTCTCAAAATTGGCACTATTGACATTTTAGGCCAGATAGTATTTTGTTTCAGGGGAGTGTCTTAGGCACTGCAGGACGTTTGGCAGCATCCCTGGCCTCTACCCAAGATGCCAGTAGCACCCCACCCCTCCTCCACCGCCTGCTACTCATTGCTCCCCTCCCCCAGTCATAACAACCAAAAATGTATCCACATATTGCCACATGTCTCCTGGGGGACAAAACCACCCTTCGTTGAGAACCACTGTCTTAAATACTTTTCTGCATTATTTAAATATTTTAACAAGAAGCATGGATTGTTATCATAATCAGAAAAACAAACACATTAAGAAATATTCAGTAAAGTCATTTGTGGCTTTTTGAATTGGCTGTGGGTCAGGCAATGGCATTCAGTCAGAGACCAGAGCAATCTGCTATCTTCTTGCTTTAGACACAGGGTTCTGGTGAAATATCTAGACATTTGGCAAAGTTTTCCCTGGATTGGTCTTTACTCAAAGAACAAAATTCTCCCGATCTTAATATAATTAAACTCCTGGAGTGGCTGTTTTGACTCTCCTGCCCCATCTCTCTCTCCTCACTTCTCTCAAGCAGCCCTCCTTTTGAAGGGAGTTGACTGTTCTCCTGGCTTGAAACCTAAGCTAATTCTCTAGATCTCACCCTTCAGCTATGACCACTGGCTCAAGGACAGACATGTGGCCAGTTTGGTCCACTGAGTCTAGAGAAGACTCGGTGCTGTGGGCTTCTGGAAAAGAGGCATTCCAGGTATTCTCAGAAGCCACTCAGAGACCTTCTGTGTCTGAGCAGAGTGAGGACTGGAATTGCTGTACCCATTTTAGCATCATGAAAAAACCAGCCAGAGTCAAAAAATCAACACACAGAATCACAGAGCTGGGTGATAGACAGGAAGACAGTTGGGGCCCTGACCAAACCAATACTGAAGCTCACATTCTGGTAGACCTTCCATTTTTGGGAGCCAATAAATCTCCTTTTTAATGAAGTCGGTTTGAGCAGAGTTTCTTGTACTTGCAGCCCAAAATAAACGGATACAACCCCCTTCAATGACACCCTTCCCAACTTCTTCTTTCATGTAATGTTAGCAAATATGCTTCAGACACAGGATGCCAGAGCCAAAGCCTGGTTCTGGAGGGGCACAGATGACACAGTCCTTTCCTGATGGGCATGCTGCCTGCTGGGGAGGTGGGGGTTGGAGAAAGGACAACACACAGGCAGTACACCCTGGGCTGTGATGACAGGGACCCAGGGACACATCCCAGCACGGGGGGTGGGGGGAGGATATCCTGACTGAGCAGTCTTGAAGGGAGACTGGCAAGGGGGAGCAGCATGTTTGGACAGAGGGAGCAGTGGGGTTGTCAGCTCGGATATTTGAGAGATTTTTGTGGGCTGAGGGCAGGGAACCACCTAAAGCATGAAGGGCTGTTGGCAGAGGGGGGCACGACCCTGGAGGACTTCAGGGAGCCCTGCATAAAGGGTGTCCAGGCAAGGGAGTCCTGCAGCTTTGCCTTAGCTTTCCAAGGATGGAAAGACTAAGGTATCAGTCAAAATGACACTTTCTGACTAATTTTCTTCCAACAACAATCATTTCACACAAGCACCATTATGGTGGAAGGCGTCAGTCAACTGGGCTCATGGCCTGGTAGGAGATAGATAATCACCTTCTGAGTCTACAAAATATAAACTTCAACCATGCGGTGGGGTCCTTTGATAGACATCAGGGAAAGCTTCCTGGAGGAGGGAGCACTTGAGCTGAGAGCTAAAGAGTGAGAAGGAGTTCCCTTAGCAAATTCAGGGATGAAGGGGCTTTTGGCAGAGGGAACAACTTGTGCAAAGGCCCTATGGCAGGAAGGAGGGTGTGAGGATGAAGGACTGATATGAACAAGTCCTTTGCATTTACACTATGCTTTTCACAGGTCCTAGCAGCGAGTGTGTACTGTTATTATGCTGTCAGGTATGTACTGTTATCACCATTTTATAGATGAGAAAACTGAGGCACAGAGAAGCAAAGTGACCTGCCCACGAACACCAAGCCAGGAAGCAGCAGAAATGGGAGTTGAACCCATGTTCTTAATGTACTCGAGCATCTCTCATGGGAGTCGACCAGCACCTTACAGACTGATGGGATACTTTTCTTCTTTGGGAACTCAGCAGTTTTAAGAGCATGATCCAGGGATACCTGGGCCGGGGGATGGGGGGTGTACCTGAGACCCTTTCAGGGGTTCACAAGATGATTTGCCTTTTAACACTCATTCTCACATGAGTATAAAGAGATTGAAAAGTTCACTGATGTATATCTAAATCCCATATTAAACTAAACTTTAAGAAACTACTACACTGGCCAGTTTTGGTGTAGCATTAAATAAGACCCACAATATTCCAATATTCACCCTTTCCAACTATGTGCCTTCATAAAGCTGAGTTTTCTTCAAACAAAACAAAATACCACAATAGACCATACGCAGAAGCAGATATGAGGACCTACATGTCTTCTATTAGGCCAGCCATTTGAGGGAACTGCAAAAATGTAACCAGCTTCATTAATACCACTTTTCTCACTACCTTAAAAACATTTTAGTATGTAGGTGTTTATTATGAAAATATGGCAATTAAATTAACATGTACTAGATTAATTTTTTTAAGGAAATAAAATAAGTATTTTATAAAATTTCTTACTTTTAATTTCTAATATGAATATTGACTGGTAATAATCCACACAAACAAAAGTTCCTTGGAGTGTTCAATAATTTTAAAAAATGATTTAAATGGATAAAACAATGCAAAGGGATTCTGAGACCAAACTGTTTGGGAATGCTGCATTCACTGGTGCTTCCGCCCTCTTCTCCAGGTCCTCACCCCCACCCTCCTCGGCCCCTCCAGGCAAGGTGACCAGGTCAGTTGGGGTTCAGTGCCTCTGGGAAGAGATGGACACACAGTGTAGGGATCCCAGGAGGCTTCCTGGCTTTAGGGTTTCAAAGTCAGGGGAGCAGGAAGAAGTTATATTTGTGAAAAAGCCCCTTGCCATGAATGAGGCTCCCCTATCCAGAACCCGCTGAGGCAGGTTCCAGGGTGGGGGCAGGAAGGGGAGGGTCAGGCATCGCCCTAGGCCTGGGGTTGAGCCCAAAGAAGCCAGAACCGCAGGTAGGAACAGCTTCTCCAGGATTCTAGGAAGTCTCCTGCCAGCCCATAGGGGTGGCAGGGAATCAGCCAAAGGACCCCAGGACACAGGTGATAGGAAAGGGACAGCCACAGCTCCATGTGGGACTTCACAGGTAGGATCCAGCTTGCCCCAGGGGCACGTCCCTGCTCTCACACCTGTTCCCAACACCTTGGCAAGCAGGGAACTCAGGACAAGAAGGGAAGGTGTGGTGAGAAGAGGTGGGAATCAACCAACCCGACTGGCAAAATGACAGCATAAAATAGAAATCAAATTCAAGTCCCCTGTGAACAGGGACTCCTACCTACCACAAGGGTAAAAGCCCCACTTGTGTGGGACATGAAAGGCCCGTTCTTTGGGCACCAGGGATGTTGAGTCATTTGCCCAAGGTTGCACAGCAGGAGTGAGCAGAGCTGGGATTCGCGCTCAGGCCCTGGCTCCAGTCCCTGTGCTCTTGGTCACCACACTATGCTGCCAAGGGAGGTTGTGTCTCCCCAAGGCCTGGACAGCCTCTGCCAGAGTGTGGCACTCAGAGCCAGGCTGGGCCTGGGGTTACAGCCCCTGGGATGGTGGGTTTGAACGCCAAGAGGCCCTCAGGCGGGCAGAGGGCTGATTGTCAGCGTAGGGCATGTGGCGGCTGGGCTACGTCCTCTTGCCCAGACCATGACCCGGGGGCCCTCTCTGCCTACTGAGTACCAGGGAATGGCAGGTAAGGCCAGCAGGACAGGTTCTTCAAGGTTCTCTGCCTGAGCTGGTGGTTTCCTGCACCCTCGTGTTCTTCCTGGAGAAAAGGACACACAGATGCTCCAGAAATGAGCCCAGAGAGGTCAAGTAATCGGCCAGGGGCCACACAGGGAATGGTGAGTGAACGAAGACTGCCCCTGAGGGAGCCTGGAAGGGAAGCAGAGGCCTTGGGGGCAGAGCTGGGTCCTGCCCCTGCCCCTGTAGAGGGCTCTGGGAGGCTGCGGGGGTGGCCAGGCCTCAGACAGGTTTCCAATGGAGGCACTTGGCTGTTGTCCTTGATGCTCCCCCTCACCACCCACAACCAAACCAGCATAACTGTCAGTTTTAGGGCCTAAATACTCTCAAACCAGACCACGACCCCCACAGCCAGCTCCTGGCCTGGACCACCACCCTGTCTCTGCACTGGCTTTCCCTCTGTTCTCCCTGCTCCCACCCTCACCCACTGACAGTCTCTTCTCCACCTGCAGCCAGAAAGATTCTGAAAGAACCCAAGTCATATCCTGTCCTTCCTCCACCTACAACCTTCCATGGCTCTCTACTCACTCAGGAAAAATATAAGCTTCACCGTGGCCCAGGCCCTGCCCAGCTCTCCTGTCTCACCACCACTGTCCACCACCTGCCTCCTCAGATCTGGGCTCCTGCCAGGTGAAACAACTCACAATTTTTTCAAGTCCCATGCTCGACCAGCCTCCAGACTTCTGCACATTGTTCCCTCTACCAGGAATACTGTTGCACTATTTTTTTTTCTTTTCTAATTGAAGTGAAATTCATATAATATGAAATTAAGCATTTTAAAGTGAACAGTTCAATGACATTTAGTCTGTTCACAACATTGTGCAACTGCCATTCTGACGCTATTTTGGCTGATCGGCTTGTTCATCTTTCTAGCATCTAAATGTTACCTTCTGGATGTCACTTTCCCTGGGAAGCCCACCTTGACCCCATATTTTGGGTTAGATGTCTCTGTGTGTTTCTATCACTGTAGCATTGAACTTGAACTGTCTTATTTGCCTCTTGATGTGTCAGTGTCTCCCACCAGAAAGTGACCTGGCTGGGGGCGGGGACCATGTCTGGTCCTTTCCAGTATGGCTGGTACCTGCCCGTTATGTGCAGACTTGGGCTAACTGACCGCCAAGGGAAAGGGTGAGGGAGTAGAAGTGTGGACTGAGCCCTATTCCACGCCAGGCCAGGTGGGGCCTGGGACACGGGGATGACAGAGCAGACACTGTGCCTGTCCTGAGGGCACTGACGTCCCACGGGAACGAACAAGTGACCTGACAATTACAGGACAGCATCAAAAAGTTTCCGGTGGTGAATAGTGGAAGCATCTAGAAGACTCCTGACCCTGCCTAGGACTGGGACGACTGGTCATGGGCAGTGTCTACAGGGACCTGAAGCACAGTGAGGAGGGAACAGGATGACGGTAGCAGGCTGGTAGGGAGTGCGCCCCAGAGAGAGAACAAGCTGACAAAAGCTGAGCCCAGCAGTTCCCACCCTGGCGACTCTGTTCTCCCCCGGGAACTGGGCAATGTCTGGAGACAATTCTGGTAGTCGCAACTGGGGACAGGGTTCTCCTGGCATTTAGTGGGTAGAGGCCAGGAGTGCTGCTCAACGCCCTGTGGTGCGCAGGACAGCCTCCCACCACAGAGAGTAATCTGCCTGAGGTCGGTAGGGTGACCCTGGCCCCTGGGGGAACTACAAGTTGAGTCTGGCTGCAGCAAGCATGCAAGGAGAACTCAGTAAGAGGGAGGAGATTCAGGCAGCAGCCCCATCCAGGGCTTTGTATTCAGGGATTGAGGGTGGGGTCCAGCCAGAGAGGATTTAGGGAGGGGAGAACATGCTGAGATTCAGGGTTCAGAAAGCTCCCCCTGGCCACAGTGTGGACTGGATCCTAGGGGTGCCAGGGTAGAACCTAGAAAAGACAGGTTGTACTTTAGCGCCGGGGAATCAGGCCCCCCCACCATTGCACTGAGGTGGTAATATATGAGCCAAGAATTAGGCAGTTGTGTAATCTGGGGGCTGAGAAAGCTAGGCACGAGGCACAGTGAGTGCAAAGGCCCTGAGGTGGGAACCAGCTGAATGGGTTCTGGAAACAGAGAAGCCAGCACAGCTGAAGTGCAGAGATTACCAGGAGATGCCATGTGGGGCCTTGGAGGTTGTGACAAGGATTTAAGGGGTTACTCTAAGAGTAAAGGGGAGCACTTGGAGCAATTTTCACCAAGTGAGGGACATGATCTGTTTTTGGTTCTAAGAGGATCCCTCTGTGTGTGGGGAATGGCTCATGGGGCAAGGGTGGAAGCAGGGAGGCCAGGGAGAGACGCTGCAGTGGTCCAGAGGAGCAGTGATGGGGGCCGGGCCCGGGTGGAGGCAGGGAGATAGAGGCAGCTATTCTGGAGGCATGGCACTGCTTGACTGGGAACTAGAAGCAGAGTGATAGAGAGCTGCTCGAGAGCTGCTCGGAAGCTTCTAACCTGTTAAGGGGTCTGGACATGGGCCTCTGTGGGTGTTTCTTTTCATGTCATGGCTCCTGGGGGCCAAGGGCCCTGACGTCCACACCTCCCACCCCTTCCCGGACTAGTCCACCCTTTCCGTGGGTGTCCATAACCCATGCACCTGCCAGTAGCTAGCTCAGGACACTTGCTGTTGGGATTTTCCCGAGGCTCCGTCCCCAGGATACACTACTTGCAAAAGAGGAATCAGCTCCCGGCACTGGCTTCTTAAACAAAGGTCGGAAGAGGACATTACTGGGCATGGGTTCTGCTGTCTGATGGGTCTGGTTCGAATCCTACCTCTACCACCACCCAGCTGTGTGGCCATGGATGGGTCCCTCATTGCTCAGGGTTCCTCATCTGACTAGAGAGCATTATAGAGCCTCCTTCAGAAGGTTGGTGTGAATTTTTAAATGAGATAATGTATGGAAAGCCCCTGGCTCCTAGCTATAGTGTTTAATAATAGTCAGTGAACATTATTGTCACTATGTTATTATTATTATTAGTTGGGCACAGAAAATAATTCACTTTAGCTCCCCTCCCCAGCGGGGAGGGCTGGTTCTAACTTCAAATCACCCAAGACATTAGAGCTGACGTGGGCTCACAAATAGAGCCAGCCCAGTATGAAGCTTCTGGAAGATAGACCATGGGATGTTCCTGTCACAATCAACAGCTTGTGAAAATGTGTGGTTTATGAGGTGCTGGTGTGGAAACAGGAGGGATTTTTGGAGCAGCAGGAGCCACACACTGGATCCCTCCCTCACCCAGATGCTCTGGGATCTCTCAGAGCCTCAGTCTCCCCACCCACCAAGGGGACTCTGACCTCCACCACAAGTTGCTGGGAGCTGGAACTGCACCCTTTCTCTCTACTCTTGAGACAGACACAGGAGGTGACAATCCTGTCTTCTAGGGACAGCATTCCAGCCCTTTTAGGAATTAGGGCTATTTGATGCCAGGCACTTGCCACTGTTGTCTTACAGATGCTCACACCAACCCTTAGTGCCCTCCCCGCTGCAGACAAGATGTGGAGGCGTGGCCCAGAGTAGTCCCAGCACTGAGGGTACGACAAACTTGGCACCCTCTCAGCCAAGATGCCCCACTTAGCCCTCAAAGACAGCCACCAGGCCCCATCATCCCAAGCCAGAAGTGGGGCCAGATGGTGGCAGGTCCACAGGCATCTGGTCCACAATTAAGTGAGGGGGAAAAATGTTGTTTGTGATTAAACAAGGGAACCAGGACAGCACAGCCTCTGCAACAGCTGGGACAGCTCAGGAAGGGGAGGCTGCCCCTCTAGCAGCCTGGAAGAGTCCCGCTGGGTGTGCCTACAGCAGTCCCGGCCCCCGTATGCCTCCTCTATGCAGGCCCAGCTTCACCTCCACCAGCTGTGTGGCCCTGGGTCTGTCCCTTCCTCTCTTTGTATCTTGGTTTCCCAGCCAGCAGCAAGAGCAGGGTTTGACCCACCAGTTCCCACCTCAGGACATTTGCACTTGTGGTTCTCCCGGCCTGCATCCAGATCTTTCCAAGGGGGGCCTTCTCCTCCTTCAGGACTCAGCTCAGATGCCTTCTCATCTAGAGGCCCCTCAACCACCCTGTCACTGTCCTGTCACCTGTCCTATTTTCTCCAAAGCACACTCTGTCCAGAATCATCTCACCATTGACTCATCTGTTGCCCGTCCCAGCCCTGGAATGTCGGCTCCCAGAAGACAGGGAGTTTGTCACATTCACTGTTGTCCCCACATATAGCAGGTGCTCAGTAAGTATTTGTTAAAGAAATGCAGACCCCTGTGCCACTTTGTCCCCTTTTAGCTCACTCTCTTTGTTCCACAGCTATGAGGCCGTTGTACAGACGAGAGAAACTGAGGCAGGTGAAAGACAACACATCTTGCCAGGGACAGCCACTGCATAGAAAGCACCTATCTGTGTGGCAGCCACTGAGCCTTACCTCAGAGTCTGCAGTGCTGGGGCTCTAAGGCCAGGTTGCCTGGGTTCAGATCAGCACTGCCACTTGCTGGCTAGGTGACCTCAGATGAAGGGCTCTCCATGCCTCAGTTTCCTCACTGTAAAAATGGGATAGTTACACTTAACTCCAAGGGTTATTGTTACAAGGGTTAAATGAACTGATACATAAACAGTGTGAGGCTAGCAGTACCCAATAAATGTCAGATACAGTATGACATAAGATTTTGTTGAATTAAGTATAATCATCCCATTTCACAGATGGGGAAATGAGACAGGGAAGTGAAGCTGATTAAGCAATGGAACTTGGTATGAAGACCATGTCTAACTTTAAAGGCTGTCCTTGTGCAAAGAAGGTAATGCAGAGGGCAGGGGAGGAATCAAGGCCTCAGGGCTCCCAGGTGATGGCAGACAAATTGGAGGCAGGCCTTGGAGACTCCATCATGGCCCCTTAGTGGGAGCCCCCATTTTCTGCTGAGAAGACCCTCTCCACCATTCATGGGCTTTGGATTGAGCTGACCCCACTCCCAACACTCCCAACCTCAAGGACGGTCACATGAACCTTGTCACAGAACCTGATGGTCACAGAACCTGGCCATGGACCACACAGTTCAGTTCAGAGATGGCCACACAATTCAACCTAAACCAATGAAAACCAGTCCTGAGACTTTAATAGGAATAGTTATGAAAGAGCACTGGCTCTTTCTGTGTTGCTGGGCTAATAAGGTAACTAGTAGTAGCAATAGTAGCACTAATAAAATAAAAGCTAATACTATAGAGCATTAGGTGTGTTAGGTGTTGTTTAGAGTTTACATATATTAATTAACTCAATTAATCTTTCAGAGAGACATAGAAAACTGATGATATCATTCAAGTACCTGGATCCAGCTATGCCTGAAGCAAACCCACCCCTAAATTTTTTTTTTTAACGTGACCCAATAAATTCTTTTCCACTTAAACCGGTTTGAGTTGGGTTTCTGTCTCTTGGAACTGAGAGAGCCCTGACTAATGTACCTGCCTTC